CCTCCAGTGTCGATGGTTGGTATGTTTTTTATTCAGCCATGAAAATTAGGATAATATTATGTGTGGAATTCAAAGCTTATTATCTCAAATCATGAGTCTGACAGGTAAAAAAATGAGTAAAAGTGCCTCTTATATCAAGTTTGAATGACGACAATGTTGTATAGTTGTTACTTGTGCTTCCAGCATAGTTGCAGCATAATTGCTTTTATTATCTCTAAAATATTCCCCCTTTCCCTTCAGTTTCCAACTTTCTTTCTTTCTTTCTTTTCCCCATCTTCAAATAAGGCTCATGTTCTTTGAAAGGTCAATTTGAATGTTATTTCATCATGGGGGAATTTGCTTAACTTACACAGAAGAAGTAAAAGAAGGAAAGGCTGATGTTGGAAAGTATATCAAACTAGTAAGGGAGAATAAATTAATAATTCATGCCCCTAGAATATTAACTACTTTCGTTAGAGCATTATGTGTTATTGAATATTTACTCTTAATGGTATTGTCTAATATTTATTAAGTACTTAATTCATTTCATTAGATCCATTTTAGAAGATAATCTATCTGAAAAAAATTGAAAGGTTTATCTTAAAAAATAAAATAAAATAAAATAAAACGTGGTAGATGTAGCTATATATTCCTAAAATGGTTTAAGAGTGGCATTGTTTGGTTTGAGTTATGTGTTATTCTTAGCTTGCATTTTACACCATCGTTTTGTCTTCTGTGAGAATGATACTATCTGTTTCATTGCTTCAAAATTCACAATTTCAAACCTCACCCTTAATTTTGCTCCCTTCAGATTGAACATGAATCAGTCTGGAGAAATGGAATTTATTGAACATAAGCTATTAAGAGTCCTAGTATGCCAGATGCAAATGATAAAAAAGAAAATTGTAATAAAGTGGAATCAATTCATCACAATTGTTATGATTACAAGATTTTTTTTTCTTTGCAGGAGAAGAGGTTCAACGCCTTGCAAATGGTGATTGTTCAAAGCCAGATTGGACACCTTCAATGGACCGCTATTTTATCGATCTTATGTTAGACCAAGTTCATAGAGGGAATAAGATCAATTACACTTTGGATGATCAACCTTGGATTGATATAGCTGTTCTGTTTAATGAAAGATTTGGATTACAACTTAACAAAGATATCCTGAAGTGGCGCTATAAAAGTTTGGGGAAGTTGTTTAATGGCTTGAAGAATCTTCTTGGCCAGAAAGGGTTTTCTTGGAATGAAACACAGCAGTTGGTCAAAGCATATGATGATGTTTGGAATGCCTATACCAAGGTGTTTTGCTTGTTTTTTTATTATACATCTGTCATTTACAGTTTACAAGTGGCCAACATATGGTACAATGTAGGAACATCCAGATGCCAGATCATACCGATTCACACCGAAGCCAGATTTCAATGACTTGTACTTGATTTATGGAAATTCAATTTCAAATGAAGGCCACAACCAATCAGGTCAAGGTACTGGCTGTATTGGTGATTGTGAGTTCTATTTTTCTGAAGTTTATTGGTACTTTGTGTTTTTTGTTTCCATTTTTGCTCATTGATAGAATTGTAAGATGAGCGTAATTTTTGAATGAGTGTGAAACATGTCTGTGATATGCACTTGCTGTCATGCATAAACAATCCTACTAATTGATTATTGTCATGGTTGAACTCTTCTTATATTTCTTTTGTTGTGAAATTTCTTCAAGGAGCCAAAAATAGCAATAGGAACACCAATTGGACTCCACCAATGGACCGATTTCTTATTGATCTAATGCTAGAGCATGTTCGTCAAGGAAGTATGGTTGATCAAAGATTTAATAAACAAGCCTGGAGTGATATGGTCTTGAAGTTTAGTGCTGCATTTGGATCTCAGCATGACAAAGATGTCTTAAAAAGGCGTTTTACTAATTTAAGGAAGCAATTTGGTGATATGAAAGTTTTACTTGATCAGAGTGGATTTGCTTGGGATGATCTAAGGCGGATGATAATTGCTGATGATAGTCTTTGGAATGCTTATCTGAAGGTACTTTTCCTGAATTTAATAATCCCACATGAATAATGTGGTTGATGAATAAAAATGTCCATCTTGTAAGTGCAGGATTACCCTGATGCGCATCCATACCACAATAGGGCTCTTCCAAATTACAATGATTTGTTCTTGATATATGGAGAAATAAGCAATCATGAGAGTAGCTACCATCACTCAGTGGTTGGCAATGGCCATGTACCTGGACTAAATGGTGGTATGTACATCTCTCTCTCTCTCTCTCTCCCCCTCCCCATCCCTTCCATTCCCTTCCCCATCCTCGCTTTAAAAATTTATGATGAACAAGAAATACAAGCACAATATGGGCTCAGGCCATTTGAAATTTGGAGTAGTATGTATCATTTGCAACTATGAAGACCATGCTGTTGGTAATACAATCTATCTAGTTAAAAATACCTTAAATGAACTACGTATTTGGATTTACAGCTGAGGAGGATGGGCTATCCCCTATCGATTCTAATCCTCCATGGATAAATTGGACAAAACCGATGGAAATGTATTTTATAAAACTCATGTTAGAGCAGGTGCTTGAGGGGAACAAAAACCATGAGACATTCAATGAGCAAGCTTGGGCTCGGATAGTTGCAGCATTCAACAAAAAATTTGGCCTTCTATGTGACAGAGATGATGTTGAACATTGGTATGTAAGCTTGATGAAAGAGTATAGCAACATTACAAATATTCTCAATCAGAATGGTTTTGCATTGGATGAAACAGAGCAGATGGTGATAGCTAACGATGATGACTGGTATGCTTATATTAAGGTATGTTCTCTTGTCGAACATAAAATTGTCCTTGTGGTTTCCAGATTTAATTCCCCTAGCATGGTATGGCTGGCCTTCTATGTCATGTAGCCATTAGAAATTAGAGTACTGCAAGATCATTGCACTTTTTGATGAAGAGACTGCAACCGTAATATCGATCCTAACAATTCCTCCCCAAATTTTTTATTAGCTTCTCATTTTATGAAATTTTCTGCAGGAACACCCAGGTGCGATGAAATACAGAGACAGGGTCCTATGTAGTTATAACGATCTTTGTATTATATATGGTAATAGCGTGGCAGTAGGAAGAGCAAGTTACTCGGGTGTAAGAATGGAGATTGACAACAATGCCTTTGATATGGCGATGGATGGTGTTCTTGGAGATATACCATATCCTGCTGGAGAACTTGAAATATCTGATCAGAGACAGAAACGGAAGTCTCGGTCTTCATCTACAATGGTGTCTTCGAGGAAAGTTTGCAGACCCCAGAAAGGGGACGCTCAAGAAGCACTTGGTCTGAAACCAATGGGAGTTATGGAGGAGCAAAAGGATGAACAAATCTCAATCGAACTCATTGTTGATGCACTTCAAGCTATACCAGATATGGACGACGAGATCTTCTTGGAAGCTTGTAAACTTCTGGAAAATGAGGAAAAAGCCAAGGTATTTGTGGCAATGGATGTCAATCAGCGAAGGAAATGGCTATTCAGAAAGCTTTACAGATAGCATGCCGTGAGCAAGTTTATAAAATCTGTTTAATATCTTAATTAATATAAAACTTTAAGTTAATGAAATTAAAATAAAGCAATATTAATTGTGGAAATTTTTTAATTGAATTTGTATGTACTTTCTAGTATTTAACATCATGTGTTATACACACACACATATGTATATGTCATGAATATGTTTAACCGTAATAATCAAAAAGCAAATATGAAATTAATTATCTATATCATCCAAGAATCTTATTAAAAGAATCAATAATTGGAAGACGACAAGAAAGATAACAAAAAATTGGTCGATCAATTTATGTTGAATGGGTAGTTTATTTTAATCAACAAGTCTATAATTATTAATTAAAAATTTTTATTATTCTCAACTTGATGGTTAATTTTTATTGCTTTTATTTTGCATCAATATATTTTAAAACTTTATTTTTTTTTAAACATGTTGAATCAATTAAAAATTAATATAAAATAAGAGATGATAAATTATTAACTATCAAATTTTTATTATTTAGATTATGTCTTATTTACGTATTAATCTATCTATAGTTGAATGCTGATATGTATTTTGTTATATTATCTTGGAATAATCAATTATCAATTTAAACATTGTATTCGGCAAATTTTTTTAATTAAAATTTTCTATTTTTTTGATATTTTTTGTTTCGAATTTTTTATTTTAATACCATCGATTGACGATTGATATATAACATTTTAAAATATAAAATTAAAAAAAAAATGACGTATTGATTATTAATTTAATAATGTTATAACAAAAGACCTGAAATACAAAATTTTGAGGAATTGAAAGCGCCAATAAATTAAAAAAAAATCTCAATATTTTTTTTTTTAAATACTGATCCAAATATATTAAAAAAAAAACTCTTTTATCATAACCTGTCATAGTCTCCTCTCTTTTGTCGAGGCAATGTGAGTATTTCAAACTTCCTTTTTCCTTCCTTTTGTAAATCAAAACTTTATTCTTTTCTTTCTGTCTTTTTTTATTTTTATTTTTTAATAAAAAAGATTTAACACTTTATTTTATTCTGTTTCATTTATTCTATTCTTTCATCAAAATGTTTATGGATGATGAGATCTAAAATAAGATTTAGCTTTTTATTTTATCATTATATAATTATTAAATAAACTAGAATTATTTGAATTTAAATCTTATTTTACTGAAAGAAACAATTAAATATACAAATATTAGATTAAATCTGCTGGGGTCATTTATTTTATTTTAAGGTATGAAACGCTTTAAGATTATTATCATAATTAAGCATAAAACACATCCTAACAAGATCTAAAAACTACAAAGAAATCCCCCAATCAAATGCAAGATCATAAATTGAACTCAGTCAAAGCAAAACACCAAAACAGCACAGTCCCTAGTCCCTCCCACCCCTCACTCACTTAACAGAAAGGGGCTAACAAAACACCTTCAAAGGCCAAAACTTTGTATGAAATGGCATGGCCTTCTCCTCTCTCCCTCCTCTCCTAAACACCATTGTAGCAATCTCCATAACCCTCATCTCGACTCTCATCTTCTCAAAATCCCAGCTTTACCCCACCCCATCTCCTCAAATCCACCATAGATCCATCCTCTCACAAAATCAAGATCAAAACTTTACTCTCTCTTGCACCTCTTTACCCTCCACAAATGGCCTTATTGACTACCTTTCTCTTCACTTTTGCCTCTTCAAAGAGAAAAATTTGCTCTCAATTCCTTGCCTTTCATTTTTTATACTTCTTCATTTTTATGTTCTCATTAAAACTGCACAATCCCATTTCTCTATAGTGACAACAAAGCTAACCCATCACTTAAATCTCTCTCCAAGTATGGGAGGTGTGACCCTTTTGGCTTTAGGGAATGGGGCGCCTGATGTTTTTGCATCACTTGCTGCTGTTAGGTCAGGGCAATATAGAACTGGGTTTGGTGCTATATTATCTGCTGGGACTTTTGTTTCTTCTCTTGTTGTTGGTTTTGTTGCTATTTATGCTGCACCATTTAATGTGGATCCTGGTTCTTTTATAAGGGATGTTGGGTTTTATTTGTTAGGTGCTTTGTTTTTGTTTTATGTTTATTTGAGTGGGGAGATATTCTTTTGGCAGGCTGTTGGGTTTGTTGGGTTTTATTTGTTCTTCGTTGGGTTTGTGTTTTGGATGGATTTGGGAAGTGGTGTTATTGCTGGTGGAGGTGATGGAAAAAGGGATGCAAGAGACGTGGATTGTGAGAGAGGCGGAGAAGTCGTGGTGGGTAGTTTGGCGGGTGAGAATGAGAGTTCTGGATGTTTTGAGAGGGCTTATGGAAAGGTAATGCCTTGTGATTTAGCTTGTGTACTTTTTCTTCTTTGTCTGATTTTAGAGAAATGGAATATTGTTCCTGTTCTTTTGAATCCTATAAGTGTGTGAAGTTAATGCTATGATAAGTGATTTTAGTTTTGTTACATTTGGTTAGACGTGAAGTATCTAGTCATGTGACAATAAAAACTTAAAGCATTCGCTTGAATCCTGTTCCGAAATCCTAACAAGATTGAAGTTCACATAGACAAGGCCAAAATCAATTATGTCTTTGCGTTACCAGGCGAACATGTAATAGGAATATGGACTTAGTTAAAACATTTCTCCTCTCTTTTCTCTGCTGTTCAAATTTTTGGTATTCAAATGGATAAATACAAACTTGATTACGGCTAATTCACAATAATCCTTGGACTGATTTTCTGTTTTTGTCAACATTAGAAAGAGAGCTGGAATTCCTATTCCATGGTGTTTACTCTGACAGCCACTTATGAAGAGAATTTTTAACCTTCTTCCACTTCTGAGAAACCTCATTCTATTCTATTAGATGTTAGAATAGAATGCCGAGGGGCCACTAGGAATGCACAATCAAATTGAATAAGTCATTGTAGAATCTAACGGGCCATTGCTTACGGCAAAATATCTTGGGCTTGCAACCAAAGGGTGCAGGTTTGAGTGTTAATTTTAATTACTTCATGCAAGAATTTTTTAACAATGGGACTATTTCAAAATTTCTGTAAATCGAAGCATAAGTGGGATATAACCTATGTACTCTCTGATAGTGTTTTGTTCTACATATATGCAAGGGTCTTTATTGATTTTGAATTGAGGATTTTAAATCTCTGATTGTTGTTTCAGATTGGTGTAAAAAGTGTTGATATTTCAAGGATTTCCTGATATGAATCAAAATTCTAAACTCATCCTAGTCTAGGGCTGCCTCTGTTGTAGCTTTAATCTAGATAACAGATTTAGCATAAGATGATGTCTTGAGACTTGATATAAAGTGACTAATATAGGGGGCAAACACTAACAAAACCGTTTGTATAAATTGATGACTGTATTGAAGGCTGATTTTGAACTTTGGGCTTTACCTCCCAAAAGAATATGATATCATTATGCTGCCAAAGTAAGAATACTTCACGTTGCTTTTCTGGTATTTAGGTAGGCTCCTTGACTTCATAAACAATCCAGTTTATGTCTTAGTTGTTGTGGATTCCATGTATTTGTTTCTTGATTCACAATGAAGTATTTAAAGTAATGAGGACTTTTGACAGATGAAATACCAGCCAAAAGATTGCAATTCTCTAATTTTTTTGTTTTTCTTTTAGTTGAGTATTTACCTAGTTACAGTTTTATTTAGATCATTTTATTTATGATAAGTATTAGAAGCCATCTTTTCTGAATTGTGTCTCTGTCATGCATACAGATCTCAAAAGTGTGGGAGTTCCCTGTCTCGTTTCTTCTGAAGATCACAATTCCTCAAAGTGCACCTTTGGAATGGAACAGGTTCTACCTATCTGCCAACATTGCTCTTTGCCCAGTAGCCCTTTTGTATGCTTGCAACTCATTCATGCCATTAGATCATCCCATTGTATTCCTCTTTCCAAACATTCATTTCCCACTCTGGTTCATAGTACTTTTGGCTAGCTCTTCGCTCGCAGTTCTGCACTTTATACTTGAAAAGGAACCCCCAAAGACTGAGCAAATATCGCTGGTGCTTGTGGCATTTGTAATGAGTGTCTTTTGGATATCCACTGTTGCTGGAGAACTTCTAAACTGCCTGGAAGCACTTGGGATACTTCTTGAAGTGCCCCCATCTCTCCTTGGGCTTACGGTACTTGCTTGGGGAAACTCTGTGGGTGATCTAGTTGCTGACGTTGCAGTTGCCAGAGCTGGTCAGCCAGCTATGGCCATGGCTGGATGCTTTGCTGGACCAATGTTTAACATGCTTGTTGGACTTGGATCAGCTTTGGTGATTCTAACAGCTGATGTTTATCCAAAAGCTTATAAACTCAATTTCCACATTGGGATTGTGACTGCATTTGTATTCTTGCTTTTTGGACTGATGGGATCTCTGTTAGTCATCACTTGGTCCAGATTTCGGGTGCCTAGGTTCTGGGGTTTCTGCCTTGTTGGCCTTTATGTCTTTTTTATGGCAGTTAGCTTAGTCATAGCTAAGTTCTCAGGGTGATTGGTTTGATTCACGAAGTTGAAAGTATGTCTAATTCTTTATGCCAGCCCCTCAGATGAAGCAGCAAATTTGTCATCAAAAAGGGGAGAAGCATTGATGTGGATGACGAAGGTAGCTGAGGATTATGGAATTTTTTATCTGTAATCTGAAAATAGCTAGTTTGTATCTTGAGAGTTGCCTGTGTTCATTTTCTTTCCCCCTCAAATTTTCATTAATTTCTGAATTTTATTATTTATCAGCAGTTAAATACCATTACCACGCATATACAAGTATATTTGTAATAGGAAATGTCTGAGAAGCATAGTATTTATTGTCTAGAAATTGATCAATACTTCATTTTGTCAATATCTTAATTTTCTTCTATATGCTCATCTTCTTCCCATCTTTCTGTTTCCTTGTCTGAACTTTCTTTTTGAAACTTAGCAATATACTAGTTGCTGACAACCTATTTCTGATCCTTGTTATTTTCGTTTGGCATATGGATATCTTGCTTATGAACCAATCTTTGATGGTGTTCATGTGATACGTATAATTCAGTCAAGCCAAAATATGTTTGCACAGAGTTGAGCTGTCTCGCAGACAATCCAGTAATCGAACTTCTAATCGTCTCACCATCAGCTGTACTGCAAATGTTTACTGAGCTTTTTGTTAGAAATCCAAATGTTTTATCAGATTAATGCAACTGTCAACCATTGATGCCCGGTCCACAAGTGCGCAGGTCTATATTTCATTATGATCTGGTTTGATTTGTTGTGTAAGCAGATTGTAGGGCTAATACAAATATAAAATATGCACTGAAATCTGACAGCAGAAAGGGCGGTGATGGTCTTCCCTATTATAAATGCTTGTTTGATTCGCAGATTTCCACCATTCTGAAATTGATTGGTGTCGTATCTTGGACTCTGCAATTCCAATGGATCGCTTCGTTCTATTCAATGGCATCTTAGACATGCCAATGCGTGCTTCTTATGCAATATTGGTGATACTGGGTTAACTTGGCTAACAACATCTTCGTCTGAAAAGGCCAAATTCAAAATGCTTCCAAAGCCTCTATTGAAATTGAACAACCTTTTGGATCTTCTACGCATTTTTGCTTGATCAAAACTGAATATGAAGTAACGTAGAATAACGAACTATTGCCTTCAAGTTTCAACATGGGCAAGGACAAACTGAAAATCAGAGCAGTGTGGAAAGTACTCCAGATTTAGCCATTTTGTCTTCTTGAAAGAGAGAGAGAGAGAGAGAGCACCCGACACAGCAGCAGCCAAGTCAATGGAAAAGTCAAAAAGTACGAAAGCTCTATTGGAGAAATAAAATCTTACAGTATTATGGTTGGTTCTTAATGAAACTAGACAAATGTCACAAACCAAGCCCAAAGTATAGTTTGACATTGGAAAGGTAATTTCCTTAAAAGGGTAAAATCGTCAAAAATTAAACAAGAGAGAGAGAGATTATAAAAGGTTAAACTTCTGACAATATATAAATAGAGAGTCAGAAAGGAACACAAGACCAGCACAAACAGGTTTTGTTTCCAATCTTAGGTTTGTTCCTATGAAACATTCGCTCATTATAAAAATCCAAAAACGTCATCACTCGTGACTAAAGCTCTGCTGATTCATCATCAAACCCTAAACTAAAAAAAGAAATCAGATATTTCACTCTATGGACACAAAATTTACATAAAGTAGATCCCATATTTCTTTTCTTGCTAAAGGTTCTGCTTTTTTATTCTTGTCTTCAGGTTCTTGATCTTGCAAGCAAAAGTACAAGTTCTGCAGAAAGAGAAGGTAACAACACAAATCTTTTTTCTTTCATGTAAACACATATGCATGCTACTTGCTATGTGTTGGTGTTTTGCTTCATCGATCTTGAGTATTATCAACCAAAAAGATTTCTGGGTTTTCTTTATCATGTATTTTTAAGAAGGCTTTGTTTTGTTTATTTGGTTAGAAATCAAGCAAGTACGAAGGTTTTGGTTTTTTTTTTTGTTTTTTTTGGAGTTAGTGCTTGTATGTATATCAATATGGTATCTTTTTGCTTTTTCATTAATTGAGTTGTTTTTTTTACCTCAAATTATTACGTGATGTGATGCTGCTCGTGCTTCTAGAAATGAATTGCAATTCTTTTGTTTTTTTCCCCTTTAAGAAGAATATTTGTAATTTGCTTTACCTTTTGGCCTGTACCCAAAATTACCAAATAAGATCAAGATCATCATTAGTTTGCTTTGGGCTCATTGTTGATTGCCTTAAGGCACGATGCAACACTGGAAGAGCTGTGTTATATAAATCAAACTATATTTCGTTCAAAATTTAAGAAAAAACAAGGAAGATGATTGAAATCTCTGTTAATATTGTGGTGATTATGGAGTTTCTATTGGTAATGTTCTGGGTTTTTTTCCCCCTTTTTTTTCTTTTTCATTTTAGATGTTATATGCTAATCCTCAGCAATTTTAGCATCTATGTAATTTGTCTGGACCCTGCTTTGGAAGAAGCATCTGTTTGCATATATCTTGGCGATTTACTTCTAGGATAGGGAGCAGATCAAAGATGTATTGCAAAAGTTCTGGGAACTTAATTATATTCTGTTTTGGTTTGGGAGCTGAACAATGTCAGCTAGTAATGAATTTCTTCTATAATTGCGTTATGTTGTTGTTGGGTGGGCCTTCTCCCTGCCCACATGCATTCTGTCGCCAATTAGTTTCATCATCGAAGCGGGCATAATAAACTTTGTAATCCTAACTTTTGAATTTAACTGCAGAACCGTCATGGTTACGTGGTTTTCTGTTTTTCTAGCATAAAAAGGATATATTCCTATCAAAACGTGGCCAACAGAAACCCATTTCGTTTCTATGCTTGCATGTGAATTAAGTGTCTTGAAGTCATTGATCGATGCTGAGATAAACCCTCATTAATAGAAGTGATAATGTCCATAATAGCTCTATCCATGATAAAAAGCAAGGATGATGCTGTTATCCTGCATCATAAGGCTCTCCGGCTTCACCATTTTTGGATCTTATTGTGAAGAACTGCTCATTTATTTATTTATTTGTTTATTTTTCAGATCGGACAAACTTGAATCACACTTTCTGCATTTTTTTATTTTTACTTGAGACACCTAATTGGATATTGTACAGCTGGATTTGCATCACCTTTTAGTTGCATATGAATTTCTTTTATGCTTTTTTCTTTCTACATGCAATCATATTATTTGTATATCAATATACTGCAAATTAAATGACTAATTTAGTTTCTCATGTTTCCTCTTCTATCATTCTAAAAACAGAGGCCTAAATTGCATATTATTGAGTTTAGTTGGATCAGAATGGATCAGCAAGGGCATGGACAGCCTCCTGCTATGGCGGTACCCAGTAGTGCATCTCAACTGCAATACGGAACAAATCCGTATCAGCCAAACCAAATGCCTGCTGCCTCAAATCCTGGATCAGTTACTGGTCAGCCTGCAGGAGCTCAGCTTGCACAACACCAACTTGCCTATCAGCAGATCCACCAGCAACAGCAACAGCAACTCCAGCAACAACTTCAGTCTTTTTGGACAAATCAGTATCAAGAAATTGACAAAGTTTCTGACTTCAAAAATCATAGCCTTCCCTTGGCAAGGATCAAGAAGATCATGAAGGCTGATGAGGATGTGAGGATGATATCAGCTGAGGCACCAGTTATATTTGCCAGGGCATGTGAAATGTTTATTTTAGAGTTGACCTTGCGGTCATGGAATCACACAGAGGAGAACAAGAGGAGAACACTACAGAAGAATGATATTGCCGCAGCTATCACAAGGACTGATATCTTTGATTTCCTGGTTGACATTGTGCCTAGGGAGGATCTGAAAGATGAAGTGCTAGCGTCAATCCCAAGAGGAACAATGCCTGTTGGAGGACCTGTTGATGCACTCCCTTACTGCTATATGCCACCTCCACATGCACCTCAGGTTGGAACTCCTGGGATGATAATGGGCAAGCCTGTGATGGACCCAGCTATGTATGCCCAGCAGTCTCATCCCTATATGGCACAGCATATGTGGTCGCAGGGATCAGAGCAGCAGCAGTCACCCTCAGATCATTAATAACTTTAGCATGGAGGTTTAGAAGCGTAAGCTCTCTTTAATTATCTACCGCTGGTTTGTGTTTAGTGACCAAGACCAGGGTGATCAGATGAGTATGTTGTACAGGAATGCTTTCATGTAATTGATAGTGCCAACATTTCTTGCCTTCATAACAGAGTTTATTTGCTTATCAGTCTTTTTCTAGTAAAAACCATTTATGGAGATTACAGTTTATGTTGAAGAATTCGGTAACAGTGGCGTGTAATGACCAGGCTTTATTATTTTTCCCTTTGTTATATGTACTTGATAATTGCCGAGCGATTAAAATCATCCCTTCTTTATGGTATTTGAACTTATTCAATGTGATTTTCCCCTCTTTTTGTTTTTTTTTCCCCCAGTTCTTTCAAGTCTCTGCATGCATCTCCATGTTTACTGTTTCCTAGCTCCATAAATGGTTTCATTGATAATGCCCCTCATGAAAAGATGCAGTTAAAAATTGAGCTGAAAATAAGCACAACTTTTTCTAAATGACATGCTGAAAAGATTGAGCTTTCTTTTTTAACTGTCTGTTTTAGTCTTGGATGTTAGCTTCTCATTTCTTATGAGCAAGGCCGTGGTTAGGCAAAACATGTATGAATATTTTGTTCAGCATAAAACAGATTAACTTTTTTGGTTCAGTTCTTTTTTCCCTTTATAAGTTCTTTCGATTGGGTGATTAATATTGGAACGATCAACGATCATTGCAATGATTGATAGGGAAATGAATATTCCTCCTGAAATTTCCAAGCTCTACTACTTCCAGGATGGATAGTTTCACTACAAGACTAGGGGTATTCTGTTCCCCTTGATAGCTGATCCTATGTTAGACAACAAATGCCCGTTTTCGAATGCATGTATTCAGCTGATGCATATCTACTAAGAGCCGCTTGCGAAGATATGTGCTTCAGTACTCTTGGATTCAAGATATACAGGACCAAAACATGCAAGATATATAGTATAAGTTTGTTGACATCACGAAATCAGATAAAGAAGGAAAAAAAACCTAGGGTGAAAAGGAGAGAATCTCAAAATTTTCCATTATGGTAATAATATTTCATATATTGGTAGACAGGTCCTTCCAAAACTTAATGAACCTTGCATTTCAAACTAATATACAGGAAAGAATTTTCGCTTTCTTATCGACTACTTTATCTTCTCTTCATTATAACTGCCTCTAGAATTCCATCAGAGACAAACTTGCCTGACATCTGAAATAGGATCAACATGACCAGGCAGTTGAAATGAAATTGAAAACTGCCCTGGTGAGCAGAGGTTTCCGGACAGCATCTGAAACTTTTGGGAGAACCTGTATACTGTCTCCTCACCTGTTGTCGTAATGCCCTCTATCAGCACCTTGCCGTCGGGTTCTATTGTGCAGCTGAATTCATCTGCAATACGAAGATAACAGTTTTAAAAAGACACTTGAGCAATGAGTAAAGTAAAGGTATCAAGATTTGTTAATATTGTGGAAACAACCATTGTCTCTTAGGTGATGCAACCAAAAATTAAGAGGGTAGATTAAATGGAATATTGCTCACATAAACCAATGATTAAAGAAAATCTTGAAATATATGTCTAAAAATCAACACATGTAATAGACAGTTAATGATGGAGAAATACCAAACCTTTTTCTGATATATCATTGATTTGATGTAATCAATTGTCATCATAACAATTTCATCATCTTCATCATCCTCTCCATCTTCTTTTCTAATGACGACCCTAGATTTCATCATGTTTTTCTTGCGATAACGTTTGATATTAACAAGCAGTAGTAGACAAGTAGATTTGTTTTATGACTACACCATGGGATGTTATTTTATAATGTTGATAAAATCATTTTGTAACCGTCCTCATTTACTTCACATACAACTTAAGCGATATGCAATCTAATAGAACAGATTTTATTGCTCTCTAAGGAGAATTGCATAGATTCGAAACTTATTATACTATAGATTGAGTTTGTCTATTTGGCCCCTTGTTTTTGTTAATACCAAAGACATAGGCACACAACAATAATCATGTAAGAAATAGTCACGTACTACAAGTGTGTCCTTGATTGAATTTTTCTTTTTTCAATCAAGGCCTCAAAGGTTTTAGAAATTCTTCAGATTGTGAAGGACACATAAATGACTCTATTTCTTAGACAAGTATTGTTGGGTACTTGTGCCTTTGGCATTAATGGAAAAAAGGGGCAGCTAGAGGAACTCAATTTATAGCCTAATAAGTTTTCGTATCTATACCCTTATAGAGCAACAAAGTCTATTCTATTAAATTACATATCTTAAATTGTAAGAATAGTAAATGATGATAGTTACGAAATGGCTTTATCAACAATATAAAATTAGGTCTTGTGGTTTAGTCATAAAAAACGTCTACTTTTTTAATGCTGCTCACTAATAACTATATTTCTCCTAAGAAAAACACAACGGAATCTGAGGTTGTGATTAGAAAAGAAGATAAAGGAGGAGACAGAGATGGAGATGATGGAATTTTTATGATGGTGAATTACAACAACCAAATTGGTGATATACCAGAAAGAATAGGCATAAAAGGAAAGGACGATTTCTTGATAATTAACAATCTGTTGATTTTTAGGCATATAGCTTTTAACAAAGGCATGTGCGCAATGCTCACAAGCAAACCTTATCTTGAAAAAGAAAGGCTGTGATTCTGTGACTATAAATGTGCTCCTCTTTAAGAACTTGGTCATTTCTTTTCAATAAAATGAAAGGCATGCGAGACCTGTGATAATGCACATGTGATGTGATAATGCACATGTGATCCTCTCCATGGAAGCTTTTGTATTCGGCAAGACTAAAGATGCATGCACATACGTTGTTCACATGCAATCCTTGTCTAGCAAATCCAAAGCCGTGTGAAAATGCACACATGCATACATAGAGGAAGATGAGAGTTAAAATGACGAGTCCTAGAGATTGTAAATTGGATTTATTTAGTTAAAGAGAGGAGTTTTATTGACTTCTTTTGAGAAAACAAGAGTGCATTCACAAATAGCAAGGTTAAATCAATATATTCTAACTAATATACAGGTAAAAAAAGGTATCAAGATTGTCAAATAGTGGAAATACCATTATGATTGAGGTGATGCAACCTAAAATTGATAGGGTAAATTAAATAGACCACCTCTCTCGTTTTTAATGCTGGCCACCCCTACCAATGGCATTTTCAAGCAAACAAGTGCACTAAACCACCACTGAAATTTTAATGCCAAGAGTGGCCAGCATAAACTAAAGATGCACCATTCGTTAATTATAAATCTTGGTAGTGATAAATGTGAGATACACAGTTAATGGAGCCTGACCATTTGAAAGCTGAGATGTTTTCTATGGAATTGGAAATATGATCAGATCTATTGAATGTCATCACTGCATAGTATGCGCATGGCAAGCTACAACATCATTCAGTTTTTCTTTCAATGACAAATTGAAGCATAACAAGCCGGGTAGATAAGAAAGGGAAAATAAAGAGATTCATGAAAACTTTATGCCAGCGATATCAACTGAAGGCAAACTACAGCATCATGGAAAGAAAAAGGAAATTCAGTAAGGAGAAAGCATTTGATTATATTAATGATACTTACTATCGTTTTGTCTCACTCCAGGAAGAGACACCCGGAAAAGGTATGCATCATCACACTCGCCAATGTCAACGAGCCCGACAGTCCTTTGCATCTGCCCCATTGCAGCAGTACCAGTCAATGCAACTCTGCCTTTACTCACAGTCATCAAACTGTTCAACTCTTCCTTTTTTGCTCCGGATGGAAGAAAAATCATCATTGGACTTTCGTCAACAGATTTTCCAGAATCTTTGGCTGGAAGAGCTGTTGTACAGCTGTGTGAAGGAGGCAAACCTTTACATAGCACACAGCTAAGAGGTTGCACATCATAGACATGCGGATCCCTGGCTTGTGGGATGCTATCTGCATGTCTTGCTCTCTTATGAAAGTGATGAATGCTACTATGAGGCCATTCAACACCAGATCCAGCCTCATGCACTACCACATCATATAGAGTACTGGCATTCACATATGAGTGAATCCTTGCTGCATCTCTATCCAGGAGAAGATTCTCTACCCCAGTTAGTCTTTTAAACCTCTCAATGTCCTTTGAGCTAATATGAGAGGTATCTGGGTTGTCGATGAACATAACATTTGATACGGTTTTGTGCCTATTATCCATCAGGGAATGGGGATGTAGGTGGGTTGGAAACATATCAGGAAACTGCAGGTAACTGGCAGTTCCAGAAGCACGTAGGTTGCCTAGAAAGAAACAATGCAACAAGGATAGTTTCAGAGTAAGGTACTTCTCTGCCTTTTGAAGTGCATAATAGTATATATGTTCTATTTCTTCGGTTTTGATGTAGCCTCCAGTTAGTTCATCTAATGAGTACGTTGGCAGCCCCTCAGCTGCTCTTTGAAAGAGTGATTTTTTTGGCCCACCTTTCAGATCCGGCCCAAAAAAGTTTCCAATGATGAAATAAAGGAGGAAATGCTGGTCATTGTCAGCTATGACACGTGAATCAACAAAGGATTCTGATCCTGCAGTAGAAAGAGAATTTGCAGCTCGAGACAGAGTATCCATACATCTGCAATATAATGAATCAGAAGCTGCAATAAAAATTCAAAGCACTTAGGAACAGAAACATATATTGATTGTCATATATTTGAACAAAATGCAATAAAGGTATGCATAAAAGATATTATGCTGACCGGCCAAAGCCAAAAAAAAAAATGACAATTAATTGTTTTAGGGGTTAATGTTAATTTGAAACTATATTAATCATATTATTTCCATATCAGTCAAGTGGAACACATGCTGTTGACATCATTTTCCATATCATTCCATACTTGACGAAATTTCGGCCAAGAAAGCGCAAATATCCAGGTTACTAAAACAGCTTAGAAGCTTAAGTTTAGATCATAAGAGGGTTAGTACATTGGTTCATTTGCATCTAGCATGGTCCAAATAGTCAGATTGGTAGGCTATGATACTACTGTGTTGAAAAAATGACGAATCTTAGTCCCGCACAAATACATCGAGTACATTGTATACAGTAACAAAGATAGCCAAACACCACTAATCAATGACATGAACTGCCACATTTTCACAAACTTCTACTATTAAAAAGAAACCATAAACATATTTATGCAAACATCTTCCCATTCATTTGCAGAATATTGCTGCATCATCTGTTCATTTGCACAAATAATTCGTATTCATAGTAACTGATCAATACAATTTAGATCAATCTATTCTGAAATCAGCAGAGATTTAGCAACATAACAGCCTATGTTTTGCTCTATATATAACAGGATTAAAAGGGTATCTAATCATCCATCAGAATTGTGCACCTTTAGTTACAGGCTGAAATTCCATCAGCCAAGACATGGCATAGGCTATAAAACTTCTAAATTTGAAGGTTCCTTGAATATATTGCTTAACTGACAAAAATATATTGGAAGAACTCCCAAAGCAAATACATTTTGGGGAAAGCCAAATCCAGAGGAAATGGATTAGGAAACTGTATCTTTTGACTTGAATAATAATCACCTCAAGGTCACCAGCCACTCCAGCAGTGAGAATTTTGCATCTCGACTAGCCTGGTCTCAGATAACGAAGGCATGGATAAAGGTTGCTACGCAGAGCAAAGCGCTACAAAGGGTGAAAAGTCAACCTGCTAACTTGATAGAGCTGAATTCTTCAATGAGGTTTTCAGTTGACAGAAGCCCTTGTCGTTCACTTTTTGTCAGGTAACGCTAACAAAGAGCATATGTATTCACTTTCTTAGTTTATATTTTAAGGGAAAAATGTTCAACTTAATCTGCTGGCCCTAGAAATATATAGCTAAGCAAATAATAAGCCTATATATTTTCCAATAATGACAAGGAGTAATCAAATCAGTTAAAAACAAAGCATGGTTTGGAAAAGATAACTCAAATAAATGTAGCACAGTTTGATTATTCAAATCTTGGCTGGAGTTTCGTTCATGGAATGCATGCCATCGTGGACTTTCATAATGGGTTACCAGCATTGGAGGCAAAACTTTTTATTTAAAGTGACTGTCACAGCCCATTTCATTACAAGATGTGATGAAAAAGATCCGTCGATAGGGTCCACTACCTAATTTAACAGCTGATATTTAAGACAACGAATAGTAAGATTGAAGATGAAAATAATAAAAAGGTTGGTTATAAGTAGAAGTAAAAAAATATCAATTCGCCCCTCAACTACAAGCCTGAGCTTGTAGGTTTAGTGCTTTTTAGTGTTTTGTTAGAGAGACTATGACTAGGTGATCAGATATTTGAAGCCTAAAAGCCCCAATGTTACAATTAATTTCAACACAAAGTGGCAGCATGCCTATGTTAGGTTCAAACATTCAAACCAAATGACTTCTGCGTAGAAATGTGTTTAGAGATATAAAAACATGTCCCTAGGCCCTCAACTATAAGCTTGAGCTTTGAGATCTGATGCTTCTCTCATAATAACATCTGGACTCGTGGCCTTTTCTACTGGAATTTGAAATCAAACTCTTGTGATGTATAGTGCACCTGTCTAGCCAACAAGTCTTTGCACCTATGTCTACAATAACCATACACCATGACCATGGAGAACCCTAGAATTCTCAGGTCCGAGGTTGAACCACAACCTGGATGATGCTAGTGAATTTGCAGTTCCTTAAAACTCTTGACCCCTAAAAATGGCAATCCCAATATACTTTCCCTTATTTCAAAATGTTTCAAGTAATTAGACAAAGAATCATTCCAAGTTGGATGACATCAAGATGGAAATATGATTTCTAACCAAAAGAAAGAAAAATTTTCTAGGGTAGTATAAGTATGATACCCAAATTAGCTAGTTCTTGCTCATAGATTTTAACGCACATTAGCTAGTACATACTATGAAGGGTAAAATACCCAACCCGATCCCCTTTCTTGACTGGCCACAAACCAAAATTTATTATGTTCCTTTCACACCACCATGAGCAAGAGAAACCTTTCATTCACATAAATCACCTTAATAAATTTGAGTTGTAAAAAAGAAAGTGACATGCATGCACAAAATCTTTCCAGTAAATGGGAAAGGTGTTTCCATTAATAATTCTTCGAAACACAAAAGTTTTCAGTAAAGCAAGAAATTTTTTAAAGCTATATATCTTTGCTATTTGTGATGACTCAAACAATATAGTATCTTCAGTTAATCACTGAAGTTGGAATATAACACCCATCAATCCATGCTGAAAAATATATGCCCGAGGAAGTGACAGTATCTGCGGTGCTTTAAACCATGGTGAGTGGTATCAAAAGGGAATCTGATCTTTCCTTGGGCATCTAAACACTACCAAGATAGAGTCAGTTGAGAAAATATCTGGTACAATCTCAGGAAAAAAAGAGCAAAAAGCTCTATAAGCAGAAGTTTTTGCATGGCCAATTCACAGTTGTCCTGACACAGAAATATGGAAACAAATATAGAAGGGATGCTAAATCCACCTTGAAAATGGCTAACGAATTGGCACCTTTTGTTTTTATTGATCTCACAAATTCTATGAATTAAGAACTTCCCTTAAAAATGTATTAAAACCTCGTCAAATTGTATAGTTGGTTAATGGAGGTCGAAGAAACACGAAAGCAGAATATGCAAGAACCAAATAAATTTGCCAAATTCCGGGGACCAGAATTGTTCCTTTCAACTGCCATGCAATGAACTGACTGAATTAGTCATCAGCACTAGGCCAAGAATGAGCACAACTGAGACATTTCAAAATACTAAGAAGGCAAGGACCCTCTATTTTCCTTGCTAGTTCAAGAAATATAAAACTAGGGGTAATGAGCATTAATATACAGTAAGGAGCAGACGTGTAGATGATAAGAATAAAACTAAGAGTAATATGACCATAATTGAGCAATGACATCACTTGGATGTGCCATGACCAACATGAAATCAAGAAATGAAATAAAACGAAAAACATGAAGAAGTTGATTACAATAATATTTGGGGAACTCAGGAGTCAGGATCTTTCCGACAAACTAGTGCCTGACTTGATGATCTACTGCGAACTTCTAGCCACCAAGTCCAGCTGGGATCTAAAAAATACAACAACGTTTCCCCTTGTTAGTGAATGAATAGGTGCAAAGTTGTCTACAATGAACAAATAAAAATCATAAAACAAAAAAATTTTCAAATTAACATGTAATTTGAATATAACATGAAATTCATTCAAATTGTGGACCATTATGCAGATTAGAGAAAGGCTCATCAAATTTGGCAACCAATCAAGCATACCGACTTTGAATCACGAAAAAATAAATAAAGGAGTAAACTTTGAAGGAAGTTTTAGCCACACCTCAAAAAAAATTATCAATTTTTGGAAAACTAGAATTCCTTTTTGTGCATAGTTTTACCAAAACAAGGTTATTTATCCAAAAGACTCGGCAAATTTAAAGCAAAAGAAGTCACAGTCTTCATATCATTGATTCTTGGGGCCGCAAAACTGGAATTAGGTGGGGAAGAGCAGAAATAAATTCAGCAATTTAAAGAATAAGATTTTGCTAGGAACACAAAACCAAAAAAATAAAAAATATATGTAACAAATCACGTAATTAATATAACAAAGGTTCATTTACTGTACCATTTATAAACTGATATCAACTTGTGAAAAAAGAGAATCAACGCCAATGAAATTATAAATGCAAGCAAAGATTCATGCAATAAAACACTTATCACCTTAGCCATAAACGAGTAAACAAATGGGCTACTCATCAAAATCCTTGCTTTCATACAAGCCAAAAAAAAAAACCGAAATTCAGATTCTAAAGGTACATTGACACATTGTACTATAACTAGAATAAAATGCAAAATACAGAACAAAACAATGGGTGATCAAAACACATGCATACACAATGTATGTAGAGAAAGAAGAGTAAAAGAAGCTAACCAGGGAGAAAGAGAAGTTGAGAGAGTAAATGCAATGATGAGAAATAGTGGGTTGTTGTTTGTTTGGGTTTTTGCAGAGTAAAATTTGTGAAAGTTCATGTCTTTTTGTTCTTTTGGCAGGTAGAGAGAGAAACCGTGCCATTTTTTCATACAAGGCAACTACAGAACAGCTCTGGTTTGGTCTTTGGGCGTTACCAAAAACAAGACAAGGATAGTTTGGGGTTTTGAAAATATTCTGAACTGGGATGGGGTCTACTCAGGTAAGGATAAAGACAAAAGACCAAACCAACAATGAATCTCCAATCCCCATACTATAACCATCATATAAATTATTATTCAAAGAATTATTTCAATTAAATCCTCAAATTCTTACAAAATGTTAATTGAGCCCTTTTTTTTCCCCTCTAAAAGCGTTTCAGATTTTCAATTCAATCCTCAAATTAATTTGCATACTTCAAGTACAAATATTTTACATAAGTGTTGCCAAATCTATGATCAAATACATAAATATTTTTGTACATTGTGTTATTTAAATTTATACAATGTTAAGTGCAATTCTATTATTTTTATGAGTATATATTGAAAACACATATAAGATTGATAACTTTATGGACAAAACGATTGGATAGATAAACATGCATTGTTGACTAATATAATATATCTGTTAATAATCTTCAAGATAAGTATTTCGTGCATATCTATTGTTTTCTTTATTTGGTATGCAATCCAATCTTATCTATGAAATGTGAGAAAATTATATTAATTTCTATAAATTTGAAAATTTGATAAAAAAAAAATTTCTATGTTTTTAGATTTTGACAAAAATATAATTATATAGATTTCTAAAATTTTGAAAATATAATAAAACTCTTTCCATTTTTTAGATTTTGACAAAAAGATATTATGAGGTTGGCTTTCCATACTATTTTTTTTATAATTAGATTTTAAATAGGTTGTTCACATAAACTGTTTCTTTTGACTCTAAAATTTTTTTGAGCATAAAAAATATATGTAATATTTTTTTTAAGAAAAATATAAAGTTTCAAACTTTCTAACATGAATATTGTATTTTTGCTAAATAACCAGACCTAATTTATTCGTGGTTCTTGGATTTGAGGCTTCACAAAGTTTCATCTTCATCTATATCTTTGGTGAAGCAAATTAAATTCTTAATTCCAATGATTAGTAAATCCAAATCAAGTATAAATGTCAATTTAAAATAGAATATGTCATGATAAAAAAAGAAAAAAATCCATCTCATCACACTTAATTATGATTAAATATAAATTAGTTTTTTTTTTTTTTTTAGTTTTGAGAAACGAATTAAGTAGTTCTTTTTATTTTAAAAAACTAATTATTTAATTTTTTTAATCAATGTTAACCATATTTAATTTAATAATATTTTATTTTAAGAAATAACTTTTTTCTTTCTTGTAAATCTTTTCATAATATCTATTTATTTATTTTCCTTTAAAAATAATAAAACAAATTAGAAAAAGAACATAAAATAGACAAAAAGGTTAAATATTTAGTTTTTGAATTAAAAAAACTAATTATTTTTTTTCCAGGACCAGAGAGACTAATTTATAATTTATTCACTGTATTATATATATAAGGACAGGTAATTTCATAAATTTAATCTTCTAAGTTAGACGACATGATGCCTTCAATCCCTTATTAGTCACAGAGAATACATTTGACGACATGTCTTCCACATGGACAGGGCCCTTCACCTTCCACGCACACTATCGGTAGTTAAAAGTTTGCCTCTTCATTTCACCGCTGGCTTCTTCAGTCAGGTATGCATTGTTGATTATAAAGTCTGAATCTTTATAGCTTCATTTGCTAATTTGCTATGTTTTATGATATGGGTTTGATTTCTTTTCTGTTTCAAGGTTCTTAAACATGGATGCTATTGATCTTTTTTTCTTCTTTTATGAAAATGTAGACTTCCATGAAAATGGATCCCATTTCATGCGTTTTATTGGAGAATAAGTCCACCGTTACAAAGGTTTCTTTCTGAATTTTCAAGAAAGGAAATTATTTAATGTTAAAAATGGCAATGTAGCCTGTTGGAGAATGCTTATTATTTGGCTTATGTATTCGTGGTTAGGGTAATAGGAATATATATATTCTGAAAAAGAAAAATGTTAGGAACTATGCTGGCTTGAATTGGGTGAATGTTAGTCAGTGTATCCATTCTCATGAAATCAGCTTATGGTCTAGGATTATATATATATATATATATATATATATATATATATATTTGGAGGAGAAATGAACACTTTGTAGAGACTAAATGGTTTAATGCATGCATAAGATATCTAAAATTTAGACTTAATGGATTATTTGGGTTGCTATTTAGCATCATGAAATCCATAAGTATTATGATGATAAAAATTGAGAATTTCAGTCCATTTGGATGGAGTGGAATGGCACAAGTTTCAAAATCATTTTTTCGAAAATTATATTTTGTTTATTTTTGGTGTTATGGATTAAGTTCTTTTATATACTACTTATTGTTCAAAGGGATTAGAGAGCTCATTTATATTGATTTCAGTTTATTGTTTTGTTTTTGTTGTTCGAGGGTGTGGATTATTGCTTATTTTGTGTTGTTATCATACTTCTTTGAGTGTTGTGTTGTTCTTAGATTTAGGAATCAAAAAAGATCAGTAGGAAGTGAAACCTATAAAAATCACATGAATCTAGGAGCAAGTTAGTAAAGTTTACGAGTTTATAGAAGCATATAGAAGGAGCACTGAGGAACACAAAATATGTGACAGTATTGATCTAGGATGTTGTAGTTGAAATGTCATAACTATGAAGAGGCATTTTTCGGAGTTTCTAACTTTCTATTTATGTACCATAGGTTGGTATTTGATGGACAATGGTGATTTTAGCAATTGAATTACACATACAAAATTGCAATTATTGGTGTACAAACAAGTCCTTTGAAATTCAAATTAGTTTTCTCCAGAGGAGGGCAGTGTTAGCAAGGCTATTCGGAAATAATTATATCACCTCTAAGCTTTGCTAGGTACCCAAATGGGTTGTTAAAAAGTTATCTTGTAAACTGGAATGCTCGTTAAAATATAGGAGTGATGGCTTGAGACTTCATGGTTATACTTTGGAGGGCCAAATGCTAATACTATAATGGATGCAACACCATCGTTTTATCAAGATAGCAGTTCCAAATTTCAATCATCTAACATACTCCAAATTCAAAGCAACTGTCTGTTGATAAAGTCTCATAATGAAGTGGTTTCCACTTGATAATGAAAAAGATATGATCTCCGTTTAAACCCAAGGTACTTGTCATAACATTTATATTGATTTAACCTTGCTATTTTGTGGTGCACTCTTGTTCACTCTAAAGATGTCAATAAAACTTCTCTTAAACTAAACAAGTCCAACTTGCAATCTCTATTGACTCCACATTTTAACTCTCATTTTCCTCTATGTATGCATGTGTGCATTTTCACATGGCTTTGGACTTGCTAGACAAGGATATTGTATGAGCATGTGTCTTTAGTCTTGCCGAATACACTAGCTTTCACAGGGAGAAAAGCACATGTGTATTCACATTGCTTTTGATATCTAGGCAGGAGTCACATACGCCTTTCATTTCGTTGAAAAGAAATGACTTATTTGTGGAGGAGCACGGTTGTAGTCACAGTCTTTCTTTTCCAAGATAAGGATCGCATGTGAATATTATGCACATGCCTTTGTTGAAATTAAGTATGTAACTTCCTATTCAGAAGCACACACGTGGGGTATGTGATGCTCTATTTCTTAGATGAGAATTGTTTTGTGCTTGTCTTTTGTATTAATGAAAACAAGGCGCTAAATAGACAAACTCAATCTATAGCATAATTGGTTTTCGTATCCAGCAATTCACCTTATAGAGTAACAAAATCTATTCTATTAAATTGCAGATCTCTTGAGTTGTATGTAAAGTAAATGAGGACGGTTACAAAATGGTTTTATCAACAATATAAAATAACATCTTGTGGCATAGTCATCAAACAAATCTATTTGTCTAGTGCTGGTCACTAGTAGTAAACTCTCTCTCAAGTAAAACATGGTGAAATTTGGGGCTGTGATTGGAAAAGAAGATGGAGGGGAAGACGAAGACGATGAGATTGTTATGGTGATTCATCACAACAATCAAATCAATGATATATCAAAAAGAATAGGCATAAAAAGAATAGGCGTCAAAGGTTTGGTATTTCTTCATATTTTGTCTATTACACGTATTGATTTTTAGACATATAGATTTGAAGATTTTCTTTGGTCATTGGTTTATGTGAGCAATATTCCGTTGAATTATCCTATTAATTTTAGGTTGCATCACCTCAATCATAATGGTGTTTCCACAATATTAATAAATCTTGATACCATTTCTTTTCTCTTTACCCTTTGCTTAGTGTCTTTATTTTCTTTTTCCTGCAGTGAATTCAGCTGCAAAATTGAAACTGATGGCAAGGTGCTGATAAATGGCATTACAACAACAGATGAGGAAACGGTGTACAGGTTCTCTGAGGAAGCGACTGGAACGGACGCAACTGGGCTTCTGATCTTCTGGAGCAGGCTTACCGACCCTCTATTTAGTAGTACTATTAGTCTGTCTTCCTCTCTACCTCTAATCTATCCCGTTTTGTGGCTAGGGTAGAAGAGAACCAGGCAGTACCTCTTCTAGAGCCTGCTACTATGGAAGTGGGAATCCTCCTTCTCAAGGCCGAAAGAAGTATAGGGGAGCTCCTTTGTAATGTAATGAAGGTTGAAGTGCATCAGAAGGGCTTGGTTGGCCAATAGAAGCTGTTCAAGGTTGCGCCTGCTGCTGACCTTTGAAATAGAGTTGAGCTGCTAGAAGCTGGAACAAAAGTTTGAGATGCTGTCCAGAAACCTCTGCTCATGAGGGCAGTTTTCTATTTTCATTTCAACTGCCTGGTCTGGCTGATCCTAGTCAGCTGTCAGTCAATTTTGGCTCTGATGGGATTCTAGAGGCAGTTATCATGAAGAGCAGATAAAGTAGTCGATAAGAAAGTGGAAGTTCTTCCCTGTATATTTGTTAGAAATGCTAGGTTCATCAAGTTTCGGAAGGACCTGTCTACCAAAATATGGAAAATTTTGAGATTCTCTGTCACTCTGTCTCTTTTTTTTTTTTTTTTTTTTTTGCCTAATTTTGATTGCTGTCCAGAAACCTCTGTTCACGAGGGCAGTTTTCTATTTCATTTCAACTGCCTGGTCCGGTTGATATCCTTGTAAGTTTTCAGGCTATATTGACTCTGATGGGATTCTTGAGGCGACTATCAAGAAGAGCAGATAAAGTAGTTGATAAGAAAGTGCTTCCCTGTATGCTCGTTAGAATTTAGAAATGCAAGGTTCATCAAGTCCTGGAAGGACCTGTCTACCAATGTATGAATATAATTACCATTATATGGAAAGTTTTGAGATTTTTTTCCTTCTTCACCTAGTTTTTCCCCTACTCTTTACATGATCTCAGGAGATCTGTTAACTTATACTGTACATCTTGCCCAATTTGCTCAATGAATCAAAGAGTGCCACGGGCACCACTATTTGCAAGCAGCACTTCGTAGATATGTACCAACAGAGTACGCATTTTGCACCATTCGCGAATGAGGATAATCAACTCTTAAGTGGAGCAATTAAATAGGGAAAACTCACCTTTTTCGATTAAATATTGCTCACTGTTAAGAGTATAAAATTTTTAAGTTTATGAGTTGAAATGATTATTTTGATATGACAATTAGAGTTTTATTGATACGATTGTTTGATTGCAATCAATTTATTGAAGCATTTATATATGGGAATACAATCAAATAATTGTTGAAACAAATTAAAGTCTTCAAAAATTTAAATTCCTTAATATCAAGCTTTGTTGTGGCAATTGATTTCTCCATAATTGTGATTTTATTGACTTGATTTTAGTCTATTAAACTTTAATGTTAAATACTAAGAAAATATGAGACGAAAAAAATTCTAAGAATACACATGGGTCGTTGGATTAGTAGAATCCAATTATGGGTCCAACTAATCGAACAGTCGAGGTATATTCTTAGGTTTATAGTTGAGTTTTGACTCTTGCTTTTCTAGCTTTTAATTAAGAATATTGTTTCAATGTGCTAATAAGAAACAAAGTGAAACCACCATTTTCATCATTGTGATAATATAATATCAAATAAATAAGAAAAACCAAGCAAATCACAAAACAAACCAGGTAGATTTATTCGTCCGTCGTCTTGATCCCAGAACCTCATATCATACAACACAACGCATGCAATCAAACAAAATAAAATTTGAAGCAGAGGGCCAATATTACCGTATATAACCCAGTGCATGACTTCCTTATTAAGAAGCACAAACACGACATATTGTTTGCTCGTCCCTATGGTATTGACATGGTGAAATCTACTCGTCAATTGCTGCTCAGTAGCAGTTAACTTTCTTCTACGTAAAACACGGTGAAATCTAGGATTGTGATTAGAAAAGAAGATGGAGTAGATGATGATTTTGATGAAGTAATACAATCAGATTGGAGATATACCAAATACGACAATCATGTTTTGCTCTCTTGTGAAAATGATGAGTGCTCATGGGAGGTCATTTACAGAAAGTCCAGCCTCATGCACTATCACATGATACAAAGCATGATAAATCCTCAAACGAGGAAAACTTGGTGTTGTACCTATTTTCCATTAGTGAATGAGGATGCAGTTGGAATGGAAACGTATTAGGAAACTGCAGGTAAATGGGATTTTCGTAATCAGGGAGGTTGCCTCGAAAGAAATGACGAACAAATTAAGATAACATCAAAGCAAAATATTTTTTTACGTTCCTAAGCGTATAATAATATAATTTTAAATAACGATGGTTGTATTATTGTATTATATAAGGATTGTTATATAATAGTTTTGAAATATTTTATTATTATTATTTTAATATTTTAATAAATTATGATTAACAATGATCATTGTAATTATTTTTCTATCAACTATGATTTAAAACTATACATAATAATATATATAGGTTCTATTTTTCCGGTTTTCGGGAAAGAAAGCATATTACAATTAACGGTTTTTTTTTTTTTTTTGGGTAAATGTGAGTAAAACTTTATAAAGTTCGTGTCTCGTAAAAAATAAAAAACGAAAGAGAAAAATAGAGCCTTGTCTTTTCTTGTTTTGACAGGTTGAAAGAGAGGCAATTCCGCTTCTCCATGCTAGGCAGCCATGCACCAAGCACTATCGATTGTGGACGTTACTAGTTTAAATAGGGGTAGTTTGGGGATTTGAAAATAATTACTTGAATTGCGGCCCACTGGAGTATATGTTGTAGCATGTTGGCACTAAGTAAAGTTAAATGAAATACAAAACCTCAAGTTAATCCTCACACTATAACTTGAATTTTAATCCAATCTTCAAATTGGAGCCTCAAAGGTTTAGAAATTCTTAATCGGCTCCTTTTGTTTCATCAAAAGTTTATAAATCTTTTTAGTTTTAAGCATGTATTTTAAATGGAATCGATTGAGGAAAAGGGATAGGGATGCAATTGAATATTTTTGAATTTTTGAGATTTAAATAAATAAAAAACTCTTTTAGCAACATTTCAGTTATGCCCTGACACTCAACATTCAGTTGTAAAAAAAGAAAAAAAAAGTTAAACATTTATTTCTTTAAACGATATTTTAATTATTTTTATACTATTAAAGCAACTATATATAATTTATGACATTTTTAATTATTATTTTTAACTTGAAAGAATATCTATTTATTTAGATGATATTTTAGTTGTTTTCTTCCTCATATCAACTGGATGCTATTGAGATAATTATTAAATTAATTATTTTTATACTATTAAATCCTTAAGTTTGTTGAGTAACAAAATTTATTTTATTAAATTACATGTTTTGGATGAGATCTCTTCTTATATAATAAATTGGGCCCTTGAAATTCAAATTGTGGTATATGAAAATGGGTTTTGGAGTCCAAAATCGAAACATACTAACGTAGACTTACAAAGGCTCAAAACCTAACTCACTGCAAGATTACCAAAAGGATAAGGTTGTCGGCCCATAAGCTTTCTCTAAAATAAAGATTAGTTGAAACATAGTATAATATCAAATATATAATGGGAAAAATAAAGCAAATCTCATAAACAAACAAAGGCAGATTTATTGGCCCATCCTCATCTTTATATATACCGAGCTTTCAGTCCAAAACCACACATCACACAACACAATCAAACAAAATGGAGCTAATATTACCCTATATCATATATTACCTAATTTTCTTATTGGGAAGCACACACATGACATATTTAGTATATGCCTTTTGTTTCTTAGATAGATATTGTTGTGTGTTTGTGCTTTTGGTATTGATAAAAACAAAAAATCAGATAGAGAGACTTAATTTATAATATAATGAGGAGAAATTTTATAATGATCAAAGAGTAATTAGTGATATGTATAGTAATTACTCCATATATCTATTTTAACGAGAGAGATAAATACATAAAAAGGAGAGAAAAAATTAAAAAAAATTGAGCAAATGTGAAAAATCTTCTTATTACTTTTGATGGATTCGGACGTAATTCTCTCTCCTTTTTATGTCTCTATATTTCTCCTCAAAGTGAGTCTATGAAGTAACTATTACACATGTCACTAATTACTCTTTAAATATTATAAAATTTCTCATCATAATAATTAGTATTCACATGTGCATAATTTCTTTAATTAGTATATGCATCCGCACAATTCTCTATATAGATAGCAAAATTTATTTTATTAAATTACGTATCTCTAAATTTATTTGTAAAATAAATGAGGACGGTTTACAAAATAATTTTATGAATATTATAAAATCAAATCTCCCGGTTTAGCTATAAAACACATCTGCTTGTTTATTGTTTTTCATTGACAATTAAATTTTTGGAAAACATGGTGAAACTTAGGATTGTTATTGGAAAAGAAGATGGAGTAGCAGACGATAATGATGATGATGATGTTGAAGAATTACTACAATCAGATTGGAGATATACCAAAGACGACTATCGTGTTTTGCTCTCTTGTGAAAATGATGAGTGCTCATGGGAGGCCATTTACAGAAAGTCCAACCTCATGCACTATCACATGATACAAAGCATGATCAATCCTTAAATGAGGAAAAACTTGGTGTTTCACTTATTTTTCAGTAGTTAATGAGGTTACAGGTGGGAGGGAAACATATTAGAAAACTACAGGTACTGGTAGTTCTAGTATCAGAGAGGTTGCCTCAAAGAAATGATGCAACAAAGATAGCTTCAAAGCAAGATTCTTCTTGACCTTTCGAAGTACATTGTAGCGTATGTGCTCCATTTCTTGAGTTTTCGTATATGATATACATTGACATGGCCTTCAAATGTCCTTCGAAAACGTGATTTTTTGGTTCCTTTCCTGTGAGGTCAATCACAAAAGAGTTACCGATGATGAAGTATAGGAGAAAAAACTACAGAAATAGAATTCACAACTTGAGATGAATTATCCATAGTGGTTGTAACATAACGAATCAGAGTCTGTATGAAAAATTCTTCTCTGTTGAGAAAAAAATAGATATCACGATATCACGATTGTTATAGATTCTAAAAAATATATATATATACAGTGATTAAATGTACGCACTATGCATATAATATTTTGACATACCAGTGCCTAATACTTGACACGTACGAAAGATTATTTACTACCATTAATTCGAAAAAATTATTTACCACCATTAATTCGAAAAGATTATTTTAATCCAACCTTTAAACAATTGTTTTTCCAATTGAAAGTGATTAAATATGCGTATATAATGCTTTTACAAGCCAATGCCTATTACTAGACACGAGAGACTGTTTCAAGTTGACATTAAGTTTGAAAATTTTTTGGATTACTTTTGTATTTTAGTGTTTTTTATGGGGTTTGGCAGCTATTCAAATCTCCTAACATTATACTAGTATTGAGATTATACTAAATATCACCTTGACCACATCAATATTAATTATTTAAATCGCATAACATTATGATTTAAATGTGGTCAACTCAACATTTTAAATATCTCCCAAAACAAGAAAAAAGAAAATCTTATGCTCAACATTTTACAAAAAGGAGAAATTTTATAATATTCAATGAGTAATTAGTGGTATGTACAATAGTTATTCCATCGATTCCCTTAGAAGAGAAAGATAGACACATAAAATTATATCCCGACCCACTAAAAATGATAAAAAGATCTTTATGTTCGTTCAATTTTTTTTTAATAAATTTTCTCTCTCCTATTTCTCTCTTCTTTTTTTGTTTTTTGTTCGCATACCTGATTTTCATAATTCATATCAAGAAATCCAAGAGGTTAACTCATATAAACAGTATCATTCAACTCATCATGAAGGAAAACATTGTTAACATCAAGATGCCTCACAGACCAATTATGATAAATAACATGTTTAAGAACCATACAAGTAATAGAATGGCCTACTATTGGACTAAAGGTGTCCAAAAATTCCACACCGGGGTTACTGTGTATAACATCGCAATAAAAAAAACCTTTTTTTGCTAACAAGTTGTTGCTGTAACGATAAAAGAGTTAGTCGTCTCTCTAGATGAATTTTTATAAAATTTAAATCCTAGAATTATACTTATTGAAAAGAGTTAAATCTTATCACTTTTGTTTCAAACAGAATTAGTTTTATTTTTAATATAAAAGAAAGATAACTGGAAAAAAATGAAGAAGAATTTGGCGATGATATTGGATGACATTGAAACTATATGCTTATCTGGAGAATAAATTTCTGTTGACATTTGTATCTCAAGAAAATAAAGTGATAGGACTTCATGTTATAACTAATTGTGAAACTACATCAATGTACCAACAACTCTTTAAAAGCATCAAAATACAATATATATGACCTTCTAATTCATCATATCAGCAAAGACATCCTTCTAGTTATATTTCCTTGTTAAGTTGAAATGTCGTGCCTGCTAGCGTGGTTTATCATCTTTTGAGTTCTGGTTGATAGTGTGAAGCTGGTCCATCAAACAAGTTATTTTTGTCTAACATCAAGTTACATACACTACCAATACAGCATTTATCAATTAATCATATACTCCTTTTGTTTTAGTTTGTTTGTCCATATTTTTAATTTTAGTTGTCTCAAAATATTTGTCTAGACATACTATGAAGAATTTAGTTTTTCCAATATGTCTTTTGTTAAAATCTTATTTATTATATTTCTTAATGTTTGTGAAAAATAAGAAAAAGACAATGTAAGGACAATATTAGAAAGTTGGAGCAATTTTGGATGATATGGCACCATATTTCTTGTGTTTTTTAATATTTTTGAAAAATCAAAAGGGGCAAACAAACTAAGACGGAAGGGGTACAACATTAGCAAGGGAAACAAGTTGTTCTAATGAAGTATTTTGGATGGGTTAGGACAATTTATATGATCTTTTTTATTTGAAATTCAATGATTTAACATGCATCCCAAGTTGTGCTGATTTCAGCATTCTGTACTCTTTCACTTAATATAATAAAATTTATACTAAATATTTAATAAGGAACTTTTCCAAATTATAATATGGACATCTTATCACAATAAAAAATATGGAATGATATGTCAAATAAAGCATCAATAGTAAAACAAAATCTCCATAAAAATTTTATTTCCTTATATATATTTAAGCCAGGACCCATGATTTGTTTTGCAAGGTTTCTTTAACAAGCATAGACAACATGTCAATAAAATCTTTAAATATTCCATGTTCAACGAATTTGTCATGTCTTGCCAGCTTGTCATTTATGTATAAATAACCTCTTCCCCCTCCACATACATGGACAAAAAAATTTATATTACTCGTAAAATAACTAATAATACTTATTCTATAAGAGAGAGATAAACACAAAGATAAGAAAAAAAAAGATAGAATATATATAAAAAAAAATATTGAGCTTAGGTAAAAATATTTTTTATCACTTTTGATATATTCAAATATGATTTTTTTCTTCTTCTTTGTGTCTGTCCCTCTCGTTCAAATAGATATATGGAGTAAGTATTGTTAGTTATTCTATGAGTATTTTAAAATTTCTTCAAAGTTCAAATTTGTTGCTTCATTTCACTACTATATTGGTTGACGGCTTCTTCATTTAGGTATGTGCATAAAACCACTATCGTGCAGATTTTATGTGCTTTTACATGTATCAAGTTCTTTCTTTGGTGCTTTTAAGATAATAATTTGTGATATTTTTTACGAAGTTTGAATTTAATAGCTTGATTTGCTAGTTTGCTATGTTTCATGATGTGGTTTGCTTTTATATGTTGTAAGGATTGATTGTTGAGTTGCACGTACTTTTCTTCTCTGTTTATCCATTGATGGCTTCTTCATTCAGGTATGTGTGTTATTTATAGAGGTAGAAATTTTATAGCTTCAATTGCTATTTTGTTATGTTTGATGGCATGAGTTTGCTTTCATTTCTCATAAAAATTAAGTCTATGTTTGAATGAATTTGTTCATCGTACGAAAAAAAGTTTTTTTTTCTATTGGTTTTTCAATTCAATTAATTATTTTAGAATAAAATAAAATTGAAAGAAAAATAAACTTAACCAAAGCAAAAATCTGCAAGATGATGTATTAGTAATGTGCAATAATGATGCCATCAATCTTTTGTTTTCATTTTTATTTTAAGTATTTTGTTAAGGTTTATTTTATTGGAAAAGTAAATTTCAATAAAAATGGTTCGCTTTTTTTTTTTTTGGGTTTTGTTTTGTTTTGTTGAAAATGCATCTCTATGAATTGAACTGTCATCAGATGGGGGAGCATGAGAAAGAAAGGCGGACAGGGGACAGCTGGGTATTTGAAGGTAGGTTATGGTGCGAATCTGGGCTGTTACAAAAGTTGGGCTAGGTGGGTTGTGATGAGCGGTTGAGTGAGGGCTGGGCTATTGAAGGCATGTTATGTGGAGAATCTGGGCTGTTACAAAAGCTGGGTCGGGTGGGTTGTGTAGGCTGTGATGTGCGGTTGAGTGAAGGCTGGGTTTTTAAAGACAAGTTAGATGGAGAATCTGGGCTGTTATGTGGAGACTGAATAGGGCTAAGTGGGCTGTTTGGCATGTGAGAATCTGGGCAGGTTAAGATAATGGGCTCGTGGGAGGCTTGGTGTGGTTATGTAGTAGTTTTTTTGGGGTCAGATGGTATTTGTTGGGATGGTAGAATGCTGAAATGGAAGGCAGGGACAGTGATGATAGGCCCGAGAGCAGTGGATGGAGCACCACCCTTGGCATCTTCGAATGGAAAAATCTGTCCATAAAGAATAATATGACGTGAGATGTAAATTTTATTAAAAGTAATATCTAAGCACTTATACTTTTATGAAAATAACTGTAGCTAAGAAAAACACATCGATACGAATGAAGTTTTAATTTGTTTCTGGCATATGGACGAACCTAAAGATAGCAGAGGCAGCCAAAGACCCATAAAAAATTATAGTCCGGTGCTTCCTGCAAAATAAATTCATATAGAGATTTCGAATCAAGAGAAGGTGATAATGCAACAGGTATTAGTGGCAAAGGCATGATCCTAAAATTTTGATGGGTATAGATGCATGATGAAGTAGAGCTCTGTTTGTTTCAGTGATATGTCTATACTTTCTTTCAACACAACCATTCTGCTATGGGGGATGAGGATAGGAGATAGGTTGAAAACGACAAGCATGACATAAAGTGTTTATTTGTTTTTGGGAGATAGAAAGATTAGATTCCTTTAAAATGCGTTCTACTGCGCTCATGGAAGGATGTTGTAAACGAGCATGCCATGTGGAGATACTACGCGAGTTAGCTTAGGCAGAACTTAGTGATGAATCCGATTCAAACAGCATGGTGTAAATGCCATTGTCCAGAGGTCCTTCGTGTAGGATTGACTTCGTGCGGATATCCTTTATCAATAAATAATTCAGAAAAAATTCCAAAGAAACATGATTAGTTCTGGTAAAGAAAGATATAAGCAATAAATTTTGACGTGAACGTGGAGCATGAAGAATATGACAAAGATTATATAAGTTTTATCATTCAAAGACACAGAAGATGATCCAACATGAGAAATTGAAAGGGTATTACCATTACTAATTGAAATCTCTTCAAGACCAGAGTATTTAGAGTGAAGAGCTAAGTTATCAAAGATCGGTCATGAGGTGATGCGTTGCTCCACTGTCAAGAACCCATGATTGTTCGGGGCTAGTTTAGGTGGAGGCAAGATGAGAGGCAGGGGTGGGAAGCAGTGGTGGATGAGTGTCTGAACTGTATTTTGGAGAAGGGTAATGAGAACTATAGGTGTCCTACTCCACGACAATTATGGCTAATTTGTGTTGATGAAGACGTGGGATAGGATGTGGATGGAAGCCAATTAGCAATCAACATAATTCATAATTTTGTTCCCTTGAAGGACATGCGTAATTTGGGTGAGCCAGATAAGATAATTTGTAGAATTTAATTTGAGAGAGGGTTGGTGTTGAACATTTGGGAGTGAGGTGATCTGTGTGATGGTAGTAGTTATTGTTTCAAGAGCGAGATCTACTGAATTAGAAGATTCAGAAGACATGATACCAAACTTCTTTGACCATTATGTCTATCCTTGAGCAACTGCTTTAAATAGTTCAATATGGCTAGACTTTTTAGTTTCTCTTTCCATGCTGAGTTATATAGTGCTAGCATTGTTGAACAATCATATATAAACAGGACCCAACCCGAACACTGAACACTTTGTAATGCACTCACATATGGAGATAATTAAAAGCAGCTTTTTATTTGCTTGTTTTTCTCATGTTACAACTCTTTGGAGAATTCCGGTGAATTGTAGATCATACTCTTATTGCTCCAAAGTACTTTTTAATGCCAAGCAACCAAAGCGATTGAAGTTTGCCGTTAACAAGCTGATGCGATAATGATGTAATTAATTCAAAGCGATGTTGTTGATGACACAGCCTCTATGGCACTACCTAGTGGCCATGCAGCTCCGATAAGGGAATTCTGATATTCAATCTGCTTCACCAGTGTGAGCCTTTTCCGAGGATGAAGACCTACACACACACGAATTAAAACATCAGAATTCTATCACGACTTTCTGGAACTAATTAATTCATGTTCATGTGAAACTTTCACAGCTCAAGCCGTGAAAGACTCACTCACCAAATCCATCTACGAGCAATGTATATTCATAGGAAAGATCCATGCATAAGTATGGCAAGTCTTCCTCCTCTGCATTTGGATATTTGGATTTTACATCCTCAAATTTAGTTTCGCAAGCAAGCTCAGCTGCTTTCTTGAAATCTGAAGGGCTAGCTTCGGCTGAATTTGCATCGGTATCAACAAAACCAGCCTATAAATCCCAAATAATCTTGTTACATTCTCCAAGTCAAATAAAATACTGTAAATAGTTTCATAAGCAGGCAAAGTTAGGATGATTAATTGTACCGCAGCAGCCATGTCGAAGAAAAATGATGCAACATACAAATTCTTCTGTCCTTCCCCGCCGCCACCATTCCATATCCCACCAAATGTGCAATTCACAAACTCACATGGTGCATTCACTCGGAGAACTTTAAGAATTGCTCTTCTGCATTTTGTAAAGCTTGTACCGGAAGGAGAAGCTGATGCTTTATAGTCTACTCCTCCATAGCTGTAAATACCTTTAAGAATTAAGAAAGAAAAAGAAAGAAAGTTCATTCACCTAGTTCAAAAATCCAAATTAATGGTAAGATTCTAGAGGCTCCCCTTCACCCTAAGAAATTAAATACGAGATCAGAATAAAAAGAATATACTCAGGCCTTCAGAATATAGACTAATTTAGCATACCATCATAACCAGCCAAGATGCAGGGGTTGCTGGAGTTTTTAGAAACCTTCAAAATCCCCGCTCGAGCAGCCAATAAGCCGTAGTTCAAGTAACTACATACACAAGATACCAACAGCATATAGATTAACCAAAGTTCAATAAAATAGTCTTCTTAATGTTTTAGCGAGACTGTTCTATATATATATAACAGAAAATTCTTTAAGAACATAAAGTTTAGCTCTAGATATAACATCAGGAAACTGCCACCACAATTATGTATTGTGATGAGGAAATATATATATATAGTTATCAGAAAGCCATAAACCTGTGAACGTAGAGGTAATATTTGGTTCCCTTAAGAAGCAATTCCTCTACATATGGGTCCTCTCCATCTGCTACTGTTGGTGCTATTGCAGCATTCTCCTCGGAGATAGTATATGCCATTTGAATAGATCCACCGCCAAGATCAACTACTCCAACTGTGTCTGGATATTTATTCCCCAAATTTTCAAGTAAGTAGTTTATTGCGATCTGCAAAAAAAATTGGAAATTAAGAAGGCTAAACAGTTTAAGGGACTAAACTCATAATTAATTAGTTTAGGTTTTTAAGTTAAAGAGGTTTCCATCTTTGTCGGTAAACTTTCACAAGTGCAAGCCTATGTATAGGCCCAAATGACTTTTCAAATGCAAATCTCCTAAACAATTGATAGGGAAGCCAAAGACGAATAGTGATTGTGGTTAAGCTCTCATGGTTTTGCAGTTTCTCCATAATTGAGCAAAAGAGTTAAGCTCCAAGCTCTGGATATCGCACTTGAATTCTTCAACGTGGAAGATAAATTCACATGTGAGAGAAAGATTTGTTGAGTTCTACAAGTGAGGGAAGAATCTCACATTCGTTAGCCTAAACTTTTAAATTAAAATAGCATCAATGCGTAGCCTTCGTGACTCTCGAACAAGGAAAAACAAGATCCTTGTTGTAAATTTTTATAACTTTTATGTGTTCAATTGACAAGCTATCCTCCTGAGTTTTCAACTGTTTGCTTTTTTCTCCTTTTCTTTTTTCTGTTTAAATAATAATTTTGATTACCTTCTGAAATATTTTTCAATCTCACTTTGTTTAAGGCAAATTGGTGCAGACGTGTATAAGCATTTGAGTAAATTATAAATTAGTCCCTCTAGTTTCAAAAAATAAATTAATTAATCCCTCTCGTTTCAAAAACAATTATCTAGTCATTTAATCAGTATTGATTATGCTTAATTTAACATTATTTTTATTCCATAAAATTTCTTATTTTCTCCTCAATCTTTTCATATTTTTTCTTTTCTATTTATTAAACAAAAAATCAAAATAAATTAAAAAAGGACTAAATTACAAATAGATTTCAAAACATGTGGACTAAATAATTAATATTTAAAACAAAAGAGACTAATCAATTCATTTTTCGAAATGAAAGGGACTAATTTATAATTTACTCGTAAGCATTTTCATGTCTCAAAAGAAGAAGAAGAAGAAGAACGTGAATGTCAAGCAACTGAAAGGCACATACCCACATATAAGAACCTTCTTGTGAACCTGTCAAAATAGAAACTGCATCTGCCTCGTACTTCAGACTGCTACTATTTGCTATAAGATCTCTGACCTTTCAAAAGTAGAAATAACTACAGTAACTACATATATAGTAACTTGAAAAAATTAAGTAGCCTGGAAAAATGGACTTACTGCTTCCAAAATCAACTCTGATGCATCACCTTCCAACGACCTCAAGCCAGCCGTAGCCTACAAAAATATAAAAACCTTAAATTGTAGTCTGAACTGATAAAAAAAATGATCCCTGTTCATTTAATTACTTACCCCTACTCTGACTGGAGTCTTGGATCTCAACTCTTCAGGCACAACATTTTCTGCTTCCTTAAGCAAAGGAACAAGTGAATCTGCTGCAGCCTCCGGGTCGTCTGCATATGAACTCAAACCTGGCTTAACCTGCAGGATCATCAAATAAATTGCTTTAAAAAATTAAAACTGCGCCGTGGTAACAAAATAGAGGGCAGTCATTTGTTTAACACAGACATGCATGGTCATTCTGTTCTTATATATATATTTCGGATGGGGTTAATTTGACCTGAACATAAAGCTCAAAATCTGTGCCGTTTCCGACAGGAAGCAGAACTAAGTGTTGATCAAAACGAAACACATGCACTCTACTTCCGGAACTCCCTGCGTCGAAAATAACTGCATAGCTGGTTGAGTCTGAACCCGAAACCTTGGAACGACTAGGTAAAAAGATCTTTCGGTTGGTGAACTTGTAATGCGCCGAAGTAGGCATTACGAAAATCATTAATAGAAAAAAAGGAATCAAACCCATGAGGGTAACCTTATTCTTCATACTTTTGACAAAATGAAGGAAAGTTATGGCTGATGGATGTCTACCGGGTTTATGATGATTTTGGAGACATAACAGTGTTTAAAAAGGGGATACCGATAATGTGGTAAGATGGAAAGCTAGTCCCCACTAATTACATTTATCTGTGATAGCTAAATATCATCATTGTCTGTTTTGATTTTTGTCTTCCAAATCATAAAATATTATTTGAGATGTGGACGAGCAGTAATGAAAAGGACAGGAACATGTGCTTGAAAAATTAACCACGAGTTTGCTTTACATCACAATCAATACAGTAATACAATTATTCGTGTTTAATATCTATGTTCATTAAGAACTTGGTATATATCTCTAAAGGTATCTAAAAGGCATAATTGACAAGATATAAGAAGCCTCATTTTATTCTACATATGTCCATACCAGATTGTATTAGTTGGTAGTGGTAAAAAAATTTGTCATTGAATTTTTTTTTTTTGTTCTGGAAAACTATTTTAGCATTAACGTCAGTTTCCATTACAATATTGGTCCCCCTATATTGGCATATTAAGTATGAAATATGCTTGGTTTCTCACAAAGGGAAAGCGAATGGTCCCGGCATTAGGGCTCTTGGATGCTTTTCATTTTGCATTGTGTGCGCGTGGGCATGTTTGATAGATATTTTTCTATAATGTCAAGATTTATATATATAACTTATGAGTAAAAATTAATTGAACTTGAAAATTACATAACATGATTGAGCAAATTGACTTGCAACTTGAGATTGATTAGTTTAGTAATTACTTTTAGAATGATGGTAGATTAAATTCGGTAGATATTCAGCATGTGAGACATTGAGTTTATAGATTGAACATGCATATCAATCTCTAATTTCTTTTTTGTGAAATATTCTTCTATGGTTTTATTACTCAAGAACTTGCCTTGATTTTTTTTTTTTAGATTACATTGACATATGCATGCATAAATATGATAAAGATCATTTTTCAATAAAGCATCTTAGTCTTAAAAACGTAACCTATAATTTATCACTGATGAGCCCTTTTGAGCTTAATTGATCTCTCTTTTTGTGTAACATGTTATTAGTGGAATGGGTTCTTGAACAAGTATAGAGGTATGCAATTTGGAAAAAAAAAATGGCTTATTTTTGAATGATGGAAAACATGACAACGACATACACGAGTTATATGAAAAAAAAAAAAAAAGAAGGAAAGAATATGTCATGTTGTCCATGTTTCTATAAATGTGCCTTGAAAAAAGAAAAGAAAAGAAAAGAAAGTAAGAAAGAAAAGGGAAAGAAAGGAAACAAAGAAGAAGAGAAAGTTGAAAGTGTTTGAAAGTAGAAATGATATATTACGGGTCCTAATAAGTTTTATTTATTCAAGTTTATATTTCAAATGCTCTATTAATTTTTTGGTTTTACACTCTCATATCGATATAATTCCTTAACTTTCTTTAGCCCTATTACAACCCTTGAAAAAATCTTTTTGATTTATATTATGCATGTGATCTAGGTAGTGGAAATTAAATGATAAGCAAGCTTTTGGTAGTACATTTTTATGAAATAAATTTGAGCAAAACACTTATCCTAAATACTAAAGAATAAGAGAATTATCCTGTGAGGATCTATCAATTTAGTTTTACTCCTTTTTGAATGAAAATTGTTGCGTTGATTAATTTTTGAGTTTATCATTAATGTTGATTCATGATGTGTTACGATTCTTGAGAGCTTTGGTTGTTTCCTTGGCTGTGGTTTTATAATTTTGATATCATCGAATAGTTAGTACTGAGATAAGTCAAGCTTTGTGTTTTTCTTGAGGACACGCAAAAGCTAAGTGTAGAGAAATATTTTCACGGTAATGGTGCCAAAATTTTGATGCATGCCAAGTGCACCAAATTTAAATTACAACTAATCTTACTAAAGCTTATAGTAGGGCCAATTCCAGCTCGAACTCTAGAGATCGAATGATTGAATAAGTTTACTTAGATTAAGGGGTGTTCGTTTGTTTGCAAGCCAAAATTATAAATAAATAAGAATAAAGTATGAAAAACTTCAATTAGAAAGACTTCAGTTTAAGGAAAACTCATACATTCAATTTACAAATTGATTATAAACACTTAAATTGCCTTCCCTTCATCAAATACTTAGTTTAGATTTATTTAGATCCTAGAATAAACCAAAATATTTTCTATATTTATTAATTCAAAGTCCAGTGCTTAAATTAATTTTTTATTACTAATTGATTTTGGTATTAAACAATCCTAGTCAAATCAATAATAACATTACGAATTAGGAAGAAGGTAAGATTGAACAACAATTTAGGACCCCTAAATCATTTAATTTATTCTTTTGTTTCTCTTATATAGTCACAAAAAAATGGGATCATAATCATAAAAACCTAATTTGCTACTTGCACTAACTTTTTATAGCAATTACAAATTAAAAGGTTAGCTAGCTATCAATTATAATAGACAATCAACTAATGAATCTCTTAGACAAATATTTATGGAATTATAATTAATTCAATTTAGAGATTAAGTAATTAACTTCAAAGAAATAATTAATAGATACTCAAATCATCAAGAATAGTTTAAATATCAAATCCACATCTCACAATTTTTTGCAAACTGAATTTTAAATTCCTTGAACTGAATTAAGAAAATTTACCAAAACATAGTGAATGTCTAAACGCTAAATTATCAAGTTATGTGCTTGAACTTCCATGCTGATTTAGGATCTGTAAGCAGCTGATTTTAGACTTGGGTTCTTCATGAGAGTTATAGGTATGGTTGTCTTCTTTCTTTATACTTTTGAATCATCTGAATCCAATATCTAGAACTCTAGATATATTTGAAACACTGATCCATGCTTCAAACTGTCACGGAATCTGAATTTCTATCTTGACTTTGCAAACAACTTTGACAATAAAAAATAGGTTGGATTTCTGCATTTAAACCCATCTTGAAAAGCTTAAGATGTACATTTTAATTTTTAAGAAAGCCTCTTTTACATTCTAGAGCTCTAGGAATGTGAAATTCTCATATCTTTCTCTAATGGTCAATCTTTACGGAGTAGAATTTTATCTTAATTAGGTCGGTTTTACTCCTTAGCTTCCAATCTTCTCCTCGGTTATAAAATAAATATTATTCAACACATATAACCTAAAAACACATTTGAAAGACTAAATATAAGAAAATAAACATAATCAATGAGCATTATTGATTATATTGATTCTCTTATAGTTAGTTATTTTAATGTGTTTTTAGGTTATATGTATTGAATAAAGTTTATTTTTATGATTTAGGAGAAGATTGAAAGCAAATAAGCAAAAATGAGTTAACTAAAGTGAAATTTCACAATATTGACAAATTGATTGTTAGAAGAAGAAATGAAAATTTCACATTCATAGAGTTTCAAAATGTGGAAGGGGCCTTCTTAAGGTTTCAAGTAGATGTCTTAAGCTTTTCAAATTGATTTAATAAACTTAAACCCAATCTAGCTTAGGCTTTCAAAACTGACTATAAAATCAGCTCGGAAATTCGGATCTCGTAACAATTTAGAACTCGATAAGTATTTAGGTCATATTTGGAGTTCGGATATTAGATTAAGGTGATTAAAAATCCTAGAGAAATCAACATACAATTTTTATGAAGAGCCAAAGTTCAAAATCAACTTCCATCTGATCTGAAATTAATTTAAAATTTTCGATATAAAATCTAAAGTCTCATCCAAGGAGTCTTATTCGGGAGTAATGTTTACTAGATAGGATTAATTATTAGATTTTGTTTTTATTTTTTTACGTGTATACATAGTGTTTTAGATTATTCTAAGGAGGAGACACATTAAAAAAAAATAGAGAGATGACACATTTATTCATGTAATTTAGGATTTATGCATATTATTTATGTCTAGCTAATTTAATAAATTTAGTTTAAGGGATTTCAGCTCCAATTCACATAAGGTTTTATCCTTAAACTATTCTTAATGATTCGAATGTCTTTTGTTTCTTTTATTATAAGTACTTATGATTGCATATATAATTTCCTAAGAGACCTATTGGTTGCTTATATGTCGTAATTAATCTCTAAACTAACTTTTTTAATCCATAATTTCTATAAAAAGTTTATAAGTAATAATTAGGTTTTTACAATTATGAGATCAGTTTTTGTGATTACCTAAGGAAAACAAGGAATGAATTAAATAATTTAAGCGTCTTAAAATTATTGTTCAGTCTTAATTAACTTCTTTCTAATTTGTAATGCTATTATTAATTTTCTTAATACCAAAATCAGTTAATAACTAGTTGGTTTCCTGTAGATCGAGTTAAATATGTTTATTTTAGTTTGATAATATTTGTTATGCTATCGTTCCACAAAAATATATTAAATTAAAGACAAGATTTCATCTAATTTTATAATTTTTTATCAAAATTTTGCATCTCTTTTTTTTTTAACTTTTTAATAATTTTTGTAGTTGAAAAAAAACACGATTTATTTTTTTATGCATTTGTTCTTAAAAAAATGCATAATAATCTAACTATAATATATATATATATATATATATATATATTAATTTTTAATATCTTTTTCATAACATTGCATCGAAAAAATAAAGTAACATAAAAACGTAAATAAAAATTAACAAATATTTTTTATTCTTGTTTAATACTAATGAGAAGAATTTTTCGTTTTTGTGAAAGTATGTACATTTGATATATATATATATATAATAGTATTGGTTGTGTGAAAAAAATAATAATTTATTTTTCATAATCTTCACACAAATTCAATAACTAAAAAAAAAAATACATGGATGGAAAAAAACAAAGAAAAAAAAAGAAAGAGAATAAAAATAGCATTTCTCATCATTTTTGCACCTAATTCAATAATAAAAAAACCTATATATATATAATGAATAATATTAGTATAATAAATTATATTTTAATTAT